GGAAATTGAAAAACAATCATAACTGTTTCACCGCTTAATTGTTACATACATATATACAATATGGAATTTGTAAAATTTGTTAAATATACTTTCTAAACCTCGAATCTTAAGCTATAAGAGCTTTCTTTTTTTTTAATTTCATTGAAGATATCATACCTATATAATAGAAAATTCCAAAGAAAAGGCTCAAGATTAACTCGTTGCGTTTGGCGCTAAATTTTGAATAGTGACCCACCTTTCATAATTTTAAGAGAGAAGCACTGTTTCCATAATATATTCAAGTAGATTTAGAGTAGAGGTCCTGATAGCGTAATATTAAGTGCTTTGGAATTTCCTGCTGGCGACTTGGGTTCAATCCCCCTTGTGTGCAAATCTTTTTTTTTTTTTATTTTAGCTCGATTTTACGTTTTCTTTCCAGAATCGGACGGAAGACCTCTCGTTGCTCGCAACGAGTTTCTCATCTAGTTATTCTTATTCTTTTTTTTGACAAAATTTTGTGCACGCGATTTCTCGAAAATTATTCAGCGGTTTCTCATGAAACTTTCACAAAATATGTGTCATTATATGAAATTGTTACATCCGAAGAGAAATTTGGAAAACTCGCTTCTGGTGCCAAGTTATGGACAATTTCCTGATTTTAAAATGCGATTTTGTCGCGCACTTTTTTCGAAAATGGTAAAGTATATGATATGGAGACTTATTGGAGATAATAGATCATGACTTTCTGGTTTGCAGAATCACCTTTTCGTGCGTCGTCAGTAGTTCCGGTCGTTATGAGATGCAAATTTAAACAAAAAGCGTATTTCCTAACTTTTTTGTTTTTCAGTATTTTTCATTTATTTTGAGTATCTTAATAGAAATCCTCATTATAATGCTTACTATATAATTTGTTCGAATGTTGATAAATCTTAACTCTAGATATTAGCATTCAACAAGAGGCCCATGGGCCTTATAGGTCACCTGAGCATCAAGCAACTTTTCAACCATTGAATTTGGTTCATATTTTAAACCAGAGGCCATGGCATAGTTACTTAATACCCATAGGGAGAGTAGAGGAAAAAATGCATTTCAAGAAATCAGTAATATTCAGCAATAATCGGTAGTGCCCCAACCCACAGGAACCCCTGACCCTGGGTTCACACATTGCACAAATTTGGAAAACACACCCTTGCTGATCATAAATGTTTGAAGACATTAATTCATTTTCAGTACATGTATATAATTGGAGCCCCGTCCGCTATGCTACTTTTGAAATTCCCAATTCTGAATGAAGGACCCTTGGTCTTCATACCTATGCATTTGAAAAAAAAACTTTATCTCCGTTTGTAGTGATGAATTTATTTTCTTATTCCTGAAAACCTCATGCAATAAAACTGGACACATACAAAACAAATTATATCAATTTATTAAGGTGTAAATTCATTCAGTATATAATAATGAACAACAAGTAAACTATAAAGATGTTTATAATTAATCAATAGTTCTTGATCATATCAGCAGTTTGCAATAAAAATTAATCTTAATCTAGAATCATACAATATATTAATGTGCATATATACATATACTGATAGTATATATTGGTTACATATTAATCATTGTACAACAATCACTTGTATCATCATGTCATATTTACAACATCTGCATTCAATAGTTGTGTCCAATAGCAATGTGTTTAACATTTCATAGAATGTTATGATTTAAATTATTTTGTTTAGTTTTGAAAGCCAAAAGTACTTGATTGCTAAAAATGTTTTGCAAATGTCTGAAATTTTACAATATAACAATATTCGAAGCAATTTTCACTTTTATTTACATATCATCTGAAAGAAGCAAGGTTTACCTCCCTTTACGGGCTGGCCATTGACCCCTTCTTTCCACAATACTTACCTTCAAAAAGTGCATACTTCATGTAGGTGATTTCAGACACTTACAACATTAAAAAGATATTATGACATCTAACTTGAAAAAAATAAAAATAATAAAAAAAAAAAAAAAAAAAAAAAAAAAAAAAAAAAAAAAAATAAAATTTGAGTCCATTGTACTGTAGTAAGGTTTGGGGCATGAACATGCACATTGACCCCCTTAGCATATTTTACTGTTATTGGACATCTGCACATGATGTAAAAAATTAACCACTGAGTTATTCTAACTTTTTCACAATATTATGAAAAGTGCATATTGTACAGACAAATTTAATGCAACCAGACAAAATGTAAAATATTTGAAATTATTAAGTACATTGTTTAAACCATTTTGCTCTGGCAATAAGCATTTCAAAGCATTGCAAAAACAAAAGAAAACAAAAAAGTTGAATAAAAATTTTCTATATCATTAAATACTACATATATAGTGTGATTTAGTAATTTAAATTTAAAATTTGTGCAATTGAGCTAATATTGTTCATATTTCAAAGAAACAGCTGCTTTAATTCATTTATAGAACAAGTACATGTATTTAACCTTACATACCGAAAATGAAAAGAAAGATTAAAAGTTGTTCATATAATGAGATACAAAGACCATGCAGGTTTCAGGGTCATGAAACAGATCCAATATTAGACTCCATCAAGTCAAAATTTAAGTCTTTATAAAGTGAACACTACTGTGTATATGCTAAGTGACTCTTTAAAAATTACTACTAATATAAATTGTACAATGGAACTCATATTTTTCATATTTCAAAGAAATGTTTTCAGCTGCATTCATACATTTTTAGAACAACTTTTTTAACCTTACATACCGAAAACGAAAAGAAAGATTAAAAGTTGTTCATATTAGGAGATACAAAGATAAAGGTTTTAAGATCATGAAACAGAATAATGAATGTTTACTTGAGGATAAATAACACAAACTTTTTCCTTCAAAAAATTCAATTATCTTAGGTGCCTGTATCACTTAAGATGTGATATTTGTTGACAATTAACTACAAATGTTTGGCCAAGCAACATAATGTGGTGAGAAAAAAGCAGAAATGAAACTTTACTGCTCAATAAGTTTTTAATTACATTTCTATAGAAAGGAATATTGAAATATTATCAGTGTAACTCTTCTGTGTGGGAGATAAAAAATTTGTTTATAGTATGTATCCTTAAAGATGTTAAAGAGACATGGATGTTTCTTAGGGTGACTGTGGTACTGTACTAATATGACATTTATCACAATTAAAAAATTCAAAATTGTCCATGTCGAGTTGAGAAACATTTCAGTATTAGCAAGAAATAATAAATAAAACTAAATAACAAATGATTTCTTAAATATGACTTAATTGGAATCACAGAATGTAGATAACACTATTGTTTTACATGTAACACAATGAATTAGTCTATGTAAAAAAAAAAAGATCAACATTTTTATAAGTAATAGAGCACAGGAGTATTCAAGTCTTTTCAGATACAGAATGTTCATTTAAACGTTTTATATGTCCACTGGAGCTAGTGTTTGTTTTCAGGGAGAAAACTATTCTGGATGTTTACAATGTCTTTGTAGAGATACTGATAGTCACTTGTGATATTGACCAGGGTTACAAAGTAAGCAATGTAACTTTCATGAAAGTACATAATTATAATGTCATAATAATTGCAGAGTTCATCATTATTGTATAATAGCTAATAAATACTTATGCATAGTACAAGAATGCTCTCTAATATACATATCTACTACTAATATAGTAAGATTAGTCTAGCATTAATATACCCCCAAAAATTATGATTTAAATGCCCATGAGATGAAATGTTAATTGTTGAACTGTACATGTTTTACTGAAACAGATACATGTGGTACATTAAATACACAAAAATATGTAATATTCTAAAGAGTAAAAATTAACAAAATAAAACATATGTGATAGAAATAATACTTGATCATTTGTATATATTTTATCCAGACTTAATGGATCAATATGTGTGGCCACAACAGAAAACAAATGCTATGAAGAAACAATAATTAACAATCAATCAAATCTTGCAGACATACCTGTATATCATTAACATTTTCAAATAATATTATATCATTCTTATTCAAAACCTTAGGTAATTTAAACAACATTTCACTTATAGTATATCAATTAGATTATTATAGAACTGTTAGCATGTGAATTAATTTGCAATCCTTTAGGTAATAAAATTACCTTTTAAACAAAGTAGGTAACAGTTTTAAAATGCTGTTGTGGATTTTAAATTGTGGATTAGCAATATAATACATAAATTAAAGATAAATAAGTAGACAGTACACACTATCATAAATAAACTACTGGGTAAATAATTTCATCTCATGGGCATTATAACTCTAAATCTTTTTTGTCCCAATAACTTCCATATAGCGAGTAAGTTAATCAATGCGATTTCAAATACATTTATATATATGAAACATACTGAAAGTTATTGGGACAAACAAAGTAGTTGATGAGTGGCAACCCTTGTTTTGTCCAACCACTCTTGGCAGTTTGTAAATATTTAGCTTCCATTGGAAGCTAAATATTTACATACTGCCTGTTTTGTGCTTGAGAGGGTTAATAATATTCAACAATGTAATTAAAATGCAGTTCTGTCATAGAATAGCTTGCTTAAGTCAAATCTGCAGCACAATAAATCATATTATGGTCAGACCAATAAGCCGATAGAACATCTGTTTGTAAATCAGTAAAGTTGGTAAATATTAGGTCTAACTGTGTCTTATTCTTTGTGGTTACCTTGTTTATGATTTGCACACAACCCAATTTTTCTTTCATAAAGTTCAGGAAATGTGCATATTGACCAGTACTTAAATCCAAATTAAAATCTCCCATTATCACAGTCTTTTCATCTTTGTCAACAAATGGGAGCAACCTGTTTTTCAAGGTATCGTAAAAGAGTTGAAGAGTACAAGAAGGTTGTTTATATAAAACTACACACTGTATTGGAGTATTGGATGGCATAATGGAAATTATGGAAAATTCAACAGATTTGGAAGTGAAAGACTTGTATGAAGCACACTGTAATTGATTTCTCAGATATATGACAATACCATGATGTGGTCTGCTCTGGGAAGAACTTGCATCATTCCTGAACATTGTAAAACCCTCTAAAGTAAAGTCTTCATCAGAATCTAATTCACAAAGCCAAGATTCAGCTATACCAATAACATCTGCAGCTAAAACACTTGGGTCTGATTTTATATCAAGGAAGTGTTTGTGTAGGGATCTGGCATTGTTGAACAAAAATTTTATGTCTTTACATACTGAGTATAGTGGTGTATATGAGAGTTGCAATCTATTTTCTCTTAACCTGTCCATCTCATTATCAACAGTTTCATCTTTTGAAAGACTTTTTTCATTGAAATCCAGAATGAACAGACCATCAAGTGACCTTACTCTTGAGAGTGCAACATAATGTATATGAGAAATTTTGCGCTGCTTTGTCTGTGCTAGGTTGATTACTGCCTTTGAAAGAGTTGCTCCTTGTGCTTTGTGGATTGTTTTTCCAGCAGAAGGTTGGAGTGGAAACTGAACTCTCTCATATGTCTTCCTGTTATAAACAAATGTTCTTTTAGCTTCAAATACGGGAGTCCATGCAGTATTAACATTTGTGCTAAACAAATGCCTGTATTGATGTCTTCGTGAGATACCTATACTTGAGTCAGCAAACAGTACCCATACTATGGCAGGCCTTAATTGCGATTCTTTATATTCAATGTATTTCACAACACAGGAAGCACCATTTGTCAAACCATCTGTAACATCGAGATTTACTGATATGTCATATAGCATATCTACAGCAATAACCAAATTTGTTCTTAATTGTCCAGTAGATGCTGGGTTTTCAGGCAAGTTTTGAACTAGTTTCAATTTCATTGATGCAGAAAGTTTTGTCTGTGATAACACATCTGTGTCTGCTCTAACAGTTACTTTATTTGTTGAAAGGTTTTCTATTAGATTGTTATTAAAACAATCAACAAACTTGTTCTCAATAAACAGATGAGGTGCCTCCTTAGGATAGTCTTGAGAGTCTTGCCTGATGAAACGTTGTGAAATGAGTTCCTTGTCTTCGTCTGTCATCTTGTTTTCACGAAGTCTGTTTAACATTTCTGCAAATCTGAGGTCATCCTTTTGTCTCATAATTTCAGTTAGTTCATGCATATAAAAATGTTCATGCCACAAATTTTTTGCTAAACTCTGACCAGGATTAGATAGGTCTTTGAAAATCCACTTGTCTCCAACTGGTGGTAACTGATACAAATCACCTACAGCTATGATACTAATCCCACCAAAATCTTGTTTTCTCCCAGTAAGTTGTTGAAGTCTATCATTTATAAATGACAACATATTATTCCCTACCATTGAAATTTCATCTATTATTACAACTGACAAATTCCGGTACTTTGTCCTAAATGAGTTCAGTTCATCTGCACTCATGTGCTGCTGAGTTTGATACATTTTTCTGTGAAATGCTGATGCAATAGTAGTCCCTTTGATGTTGTATGCAGCTTTGCCAGTGTGAGCACAAAGTAATATTCTGGTGTCATCAGGGTTCACCTTCTTTTGAGTACAGTATTCTGTGTAATGTTTGAAAAATGGCATCAATAACCACTGATTTTCCTGCACCTGCTCCACCAGTTAGAAAAGCATATAATGGTTCATCTCTGGTTTGAATCCAGTTAGTTACATGATTGTAAAATTCCCTCTGCTTAGTATTCAGGGATTGTAAAAGTTTATGATACTGCTGATCAGGAATGCGTACAGCACTCATTTCTGTTTCAGTTACTTTTGAGGACAATCCAAGTTCTGGTCCAATATCAAATTCTCTGTGTTGAACTGTATCAGGATCAAAATGAACAAATTCCTCAGATGGTTCAGAACCTATCTCTGCATCTTCTGCCTCAGCATGTTCTGTATTTGGTGCTACTGTCTCCAGATCATCAAGATCTTCTTCAGCTAGAAGCCGAGCTTGTTCTAATTCATCCACAAAATGCTCATACTGCCTTTGCTTCATTTGTATTATACTTGCTTTTTGAATGTAATGCTGTTCATAAGTTTGATGACTACCAAGTAGGTCAGCATTCTCGTTTCTCCAAGGCAGAAAGAGAAGAATTCTTTCTCTGTAATACTGTTCAGAATTTGTTTTTTGGCTGTAGCCTACATATCTAATAACTCGTTTGTTTTTTCGTCTTCTGATCTTAATCCCATTTTTCAAATGAACTAATACATCCTGATCAGTAAAAGTTTCCTGAGAATTATCTTCTGGATTATCATCATTCATTTCCTCTTGTATATCTTTTCTGATTTCTTTTGGGAAAGTCACTTCCAATTCAGACACAACATCAGCTAAACACCAATTTTCTAGCTGTTTTGGTCTTCTTGCATATCTTTGTATCATACTATCTGCCTTAATATCAGTTGAATCCTTGGGTAACTCATTCAATTCATCTTGATGTTTGAGTAAGAAAACTCGGTCTTCAGGTGGTGAGGTATTGATAAAAACAACCTCTCTACTTGCTTGTGTAAGTGGCATCTGAAGGATTAAGTAACTTGCCTCTTGTGCACTGACCTCAACAAAGTTTAAGAACTTGTTTCCAATATGTCGAACTTGTCGCTTAAGATCCATATTTCCCTCTGCGGCTTCTTGAGATGCCTTATCAAGCATTGCACTGATCCCTCTCTGAGATTTGCTGATATAAGCAACAATGTATGTGGCACATGCATAAGGATCAAGTACAAACTGAATATCTAAGTTAGCATTCCAGGCCTTCAACACTGATGAGTTATAGTAATTCACTCTCATCTCAGATGGACTTCTCTTAAGAAACAATTTAGGACCTTTCAAGGAAGCTCGAATACATTTTATATACTCATCCTCACACATTTCTACAACAGTTTCTAAGAAAGACTCATAGTCTAAACTGCAACCATCTTTGTAATCATTCATTTTCTTCTGAATATCAGAATACATCTTTCTATAGTGTTCAACATTAACATCCAAGGGTTCAAGAAGCATAGTTTTGGGCAAAGGTGGCAAAGGAAATCCAAATCTGCATACAGATCTACCACCCTTTTTGCAAGTTTTTGAGTGTTTATGTACTTGAAGATCTACAAGTTGCTTCATTTGAGGATTATTTTCCTGCAAACCACATGTGACATACTTATCTACATAAGCTTCAATTTCTTCATTGCTATTTTCTTTGTGCTTTGGGGCATCACTTGTCCATACCAGCATATGAATATGTGGCGAACCTCGGTTTTGGAATTCTACCCTTCGAAACACATCAGTGACAACACCTAGAGGATTATGAGGACTCTTAAGAACAGTATTGATGAAAAGTTGAACTCTGTTGTCAAAGAATCTAGCACATGTCACTGGATCTTGTTTAACTAGTTTTGATTTTTCACTCCAATTCAAATCCTCTAATTCTTCTTGTGACAGGGGTTTTCCATCTAGTGTTGCCAATGTTTTAAGCAGATCTTGCCATCTGGTATCAGCTGATGAAAGTGAGATAAACCAAGTTGGAAGACCCAACTGCCTTATCATGGCAAAAACATCTTTCTTTTTAGATGAAAGATATGCAGGAGAATTTCGAAGTGTTCTGAAAATATAATACCCTTCATTTAATCTCACAATTCTTTCCGCAGAGGCTGGATCTAAAACTTGTTCTGCGGTGATTTTCTTACCATCTGATTTACATCTTCTCAATGCCAAGTTAACTTTGTCACTAACTTGCTTAATTTGAATTTTCTTCAATTTAAAAAAGATGTTTGGCACAGATTGTGCTGCTCGTCTATCAACACTGCGCAACTCCCACTTTGCAATATCACTGTAGTGTACTGGAACTTCTCTTTCCTCATTTTCAATTCTGCGTTGACCACAAAATATTGTTGGAAAACAGAGATATTCTGCATCTTTATCTGTAAATAAACTTATTGGTTTTTGGTTTTCTCCAGGGGCAAACACATAGAGTTTATTTGTATCAATATCTGCTTCATCTACAAGTGTATCAGAATTGCCCTGAATGCAATCATCTGAGGAAACTTCACAAAAACCATCATCATTTCCTTCCGTTTCACGATCATCACTATCATTTGAAGATCCTACCAATTCTTGTACTGTTTCCTCATTACTTTTTTCAATTTTGTCTCTCCAAGAATGGTCTATCACTATTCCTGAATTTTTATACAATTCACTATTTTTCATTAGCCATTGTAAAGCACTTATCACCACATTGGGACGAACATTTTCTGTGAAGCATGCAGATTTGTGAGATAATCTTTTCTTTAATTTCACAGCTATAGTTACATGCTCATCTATTTGTCGTGGAAGGGCATTCACAGTTGGCTGAATATCAACTGGAACATTTACAACATTTCCTTTGACCGACATCTGACCTCCTCTTGGTAATTCTCTTATTTGCATAAAAGGTATCCGTTGAGATATCAACCTCTCTTCCAGTGGGTGTAAATTTAAAGCATCCGGTTTGTCAGGCCATATCATTCCATTTTTAACTGAAAGTCTTGGAATTCTCTCATCCTTCAGAGCTGAACAGCAAGTTAAGCAAAGCCATTCTATGTCATCCACAGATCTGAACCCAGTACAGATACTCTTACTACTTACACTAAGATTAATTGTATCCAACTTCACAACGCTTTTGAAAAACCAAGTCTGATGACAACATGTGCACACATAAATTGGGCCAATTTTTACTTGATCGTGGAATTTCTTGATGCAGTCATCTAAACAATTTCCATAACATCTTTTCTTCAATAATTTGTTTTCATGGTCTTTGAATTCTGCATCAAGTCTTCTTTTAGCCTTAGAAACTTTTTCCGTCTCCCTCTCATTTTCTCTGTTATTTCTTCTACTTTGCTGTTTATATAAACGTTCCTTCTCCACCTGCTGCACATTGTCTCTTTTCACTCTTTTTGCTTCTCTTTCTGTTGATCTAAATTCTGGATTTTGCCTTGCTTTTGTTTTACTTTTCAAAGCACTTTCTCTGTCTTTCTGTTGTGTCTCTGGGTTTTCTCTGGCAATTTTTTTGGCAGCAAGTTCCTTTTCTTGAAAATCTTTACAAAGTCTAGCTTTAGATCTACTTTTCAAAGCACTTTCTCTGTCTTTCTGCTTTGTCTCTGGATTTTCTCTGGCAATTTTTTTGGCAGCAAGTTCTTTATCTTTATATTCTTTACTAAGTCTTGCTTTAGTTCTACTTTTCAAATTGCTTTCTCTGTCTTTCTGCTTTGTCTCTGGATTTTGCCTGGCAAGTTTTTTGGCAGCAAGTTCCTTTTCTTGAAAATCTTTACAAAGTCTAGCTTTAGATCTACTTTTCAAAGCACTCTCTCTGTCTTTCTGCTTTGTCTCTGGATTTTCTCTGGCAAGTTTTTTGGCAGCAAGTTCTTTTTCTTGAAAATCTTTATTAAGTCTAGTTTTAGATCTACTTTTCAAAGCACTTTCTCTATCTTTCTGCTTTGTCTCTGGATTTTCTCTGGCAATTTTTTTGGCAGCAAGTTCTTTTTCTTTATATTCCTTACTAAGTCTTGCTTTAGTTTTACTTTTCAAAGTGCTTTGCCTGTGTTTCTGCTTTGTCTGTGGGTTTTCTCTGGCAAGTTTTTTGGTAGCAAGTTCTTTTTCTTTGAAGTCTTTACTTAATCTTGCTTTACTCTTACTTCTTCCACACAGTGCATTGTCACTTTTCCTTGTTTCTGAGTTTTCCCTCCTTTTTCGCATGTAATTTCTCATATATTCTTTTCTATTTGCTTGTGAGCTTGACATGTTCTCTTGGAACTCAAAATACTTGTCAATTAAAGATAGTCTTTCACTTCCTGAAATGGACACCTTTGATTTTTGCATTACAGACAATGGTTGTATCTCAAATTGATTTATCATTGAAATATTGCAACTTTGATAAAATGCAAACAAGTAATCCACAAGTTGATCAATATCACTGAAAGTAATTTTAACAGCTCTACCATCTGCAGATGAGAGACCATCCTCTCCATGGGAATGTGAATCAAAAAATACAGGAGAGTTCTCTTCATTCAGATATATTGCAGAGCAAATTCCTCCAACAATAATTAATCCCTGCTTGTACCTTAAAAAGAGCAACTCAATGCCTTCTTTCAAATTATTACTTTGACATGATTGATCCCAACTGATATGAGTCAGTGTTCCATAAATTTCTTCAAAATAGCATATTTCATACTGGTTGTCATTGACGTACACAGACCTCGGAAGTTCTTGAAATTGTAGCATTTTTGATACAAATTGAACAGATGATTGTAATTCTGCGATTCTGACTCTAAATAAATCATCTCCAGCAAATAATACGCCATCAAGTTGTACTGAAGTAGATGTATTTTGCAGAATGATGGACATCAAAGCATTGCATGTGCACTGAACTCCTCGTGAAAAAGCTGGAAACAAATTACTAGATTGATTAATTGTTCCAAATAAT